TAAATAAAAATATTAAAAAGAAAAAAAAATCTATTTTAAATATATCGCCGAGCGAAAATACTATCAACCCTTCTTTAACTTTTTATTCTCTCTCCTTCTTCTCCGGGGTACGACATTACAAACTCTTTTATTTGTTATAGTTTATGACGTATCGACAGACCGATTTTGGCTCAAACGGTAACGGTTTTTAGTCCCGAACTCAGTCAAAACTATTTCACTAAAAAATTTCCATGTCCCTTGCCTTCACGTATAACCCGTGACATGACATGACGATTAGACGGGGGAAGTAAGGTAACATTTACTAACTTGTCGGGTTAATAACTGTCAGGGAAATTCCTAAAAACTCAGCCCCGAGTTTATTACTAATTAAAGAACTACAATATGTCACTTTGCATTGCATGATAAGAACAAGGTTTAACCTATTAAAATTTAACATTGTTAAAATAAGCAAAGAAATTCAGAAAGAATTTTAGAATTTAAAAAAAGATTTTCATGATGCGTCTTATTATTATGTGGGAAAAATTTAATTGGTTAAGTTATAATGTTAGATCTGTATAAATTTGTATATTACAGTATAATTACAGTATAACGATAATACGTAAGATTAAATTTTAAAACCCTTACGTAAACACTGTATTTGGGTTTTAAGGAAGTCAGGGTTTTTACCTGAATATCTTTCCTGAACGATCTCGGGTCATAATATGCGACAATCTAGTGATTATCTCAACAAATCGATTAAGGAAATGACAGATATTATCATTTAACACCAATGTGTGAGGTTTAAATTTGTGACACAAAAAAATACCAGAAAATTTCTCTGTCATTTAAATCATATTTTATTTCTGTGATAGCGAGATTCCATTGTCTTGTGATTCGTTTACGAGAATTTTCTAACACAAATAAGGCATAATTGAGTTTCATTGACTACGTAGTATCTCTCTTGAACAAAAGTTATTAATAAGGAACTAATTCTATCCAGTGACTTAATAAAAGCTTCTCCAAATCGTGCATATTTTTCGGCGTTATGATCTCGAGTGATTGCATTCATTTATTCCTTCGACCATATTAAATTGGATAAAAATGATCACCAGTTTCTTTCAACACGTTTCGCTCTTAATGCGAACAAATTGATAATATTAATATTTTTTTTTTTAAGTAAAAGACGGGTTTTCAAGATACTAATTTATAGATTTTGTTTATAAAAATATTTTATGAACAAGTGGGTAAAACGGTAGGTTGTCATCTCTACTTTGTTCAGGAGCTTCGATCAAGAGCTTCGCTCAGGGTAAGCTTCTTTCGTGTAAATTTACTTGAGTTACACAATAACCCAAGCCACTCATCTAAAACTATAAATACAATTTCGATATTAATATTTAGAAGATCATCCAATTACAATGACCGATCAAACGAATGATAACACATTGGAAACAAAAACAGATGATTATGATAAATATAATTGTAGTTTAGCGGCTGAGCTCGATTATTTTGTTATGTGTTATTGTGAGTATTTTGAATTTATAAATTAGTTCTTTTTAAGTAAACATGCCTCAACAGAGAATTAGCCTTAGGAGGTCAGGCAATTAATTACTATCGATATGGGGAACGAAAAGATTGTTCACAACGTTGGCAAAGTCTTAAATTTTGTATACAATTGAAGTCAAAATCTTTAGAAGAACGAAAGGTATTTCATCATTGTTTTATAATCGATTAGATAAATAAATGTACATATATTCTATTTCGTTGCTCTGTGATTTTAAATAAATTAAAATAAAATTGATTCAATTAAAAAATGTGAATGTGAATCGAAGAAAATGATTTTAGAAAGAGAAGCAATGAAAGATGCCAAGTATACTAAACAAAAAAGTTCATTGGATGTTTGGGAAATGAGAGAGTAGGTTTAAATTGTCATTTTATTTATGCACTGCACTCTCGTTATGACGACACCTATACCTTATTGGCATCCACTTACATCATTGTCTCAATTTTCATTATGTAAAATAATTGATAACTTTTTCCATCCATGTTAATGTCGTTATAACGAGAATTGTATACTTTGGTGCAATGAAGTCTTAATGATTTTCGGTTGTTTTTTTTTTTTTTTTTTTTATTTATTTATTTTCGTTTGTTTTAAAGAAAACCGCCATCAAAAATTTTTCCATTACATGATCAAACACCATTCGATCAGTTATGATTCGTCCGTTGAAGTTTCAGTTTTGTGATTTTTAAAGGTGAAAATGAAATTTCTCAAGTTTGTATCCATTTTGGTATACTACATATGCTAATTCTTATTTCATTTTTCTGAAATATTAATTATTTATAGCATTATAGTAACGATTAAATTGAATGTCGATAACCTTGATACGCATCACTACTTAAACAAACTTAATAAATCTGTTATAACTTTACGTGACTTTTTACAAAGAAAACGTGGTTAGCCAAATATTAGCACTTTTAATAGAAATTTTTTTTTATAATATATTATACAAGCGATTAACTTGTGAAACAAATGTTCTATCTAAATATATTATACATGTAATTATGCCAAGCGTCAGCTACACCCATTGTCAAGATTCGTAAATCAATATGCTATACATAAAAAAATTTAGGTTTGAATGATCAAACATAATATGTGATTATTTTTCATTTTCATTTAAAGTAGATTCATCAAATTGTTCCTGTTAGAATGTAAACATATAAATTTTAGTCTTGAAACTTAGTTTTATAGATGATGTTACTAAATGAGTACCTCATTTGTAATAATTAATTTGACTGCTTCTACTTTTTGCTCTTCTTCTCCTTTCTATGCGATTTGAAAATTTTAATTACTCTATTTTTTGAAATAATATTAATAATAAATATTTCCGAAAATGCTCCTTACTTGAGATGAATGTGTGTTTATTTCTTCCTGTTTTTTTTTTTATTTGGTTATGTAAAATATTATGATAATTAATTTGACTGTATGTATTAATATTTAACAATGAATGAGTCTTTAGAGAATAAAGTAATCGAGATTGTTTTTTTTCCAGTGATAACAACAGCTTTATAATATTATAAATACAGAAAATCTCCATTACTTTTATTTCCCGACTGTACAGCTGTGTGTAGAAAAAAAATTGATCACCTGTGATGAAACAGAATCTGTCTCCTCCTGTTTATATGACACATAAAAAGGTTAAAAATTTTTAGCACGTTGAATAAGAATTTTTTATCTATTATATATGTATATTTTTGTTTACCTGAGAATCCGATTGTGGTGAGGATGTCGAAGGCTCAGATGGCGGTTGCGACGCGGACTTATTCATTCTTCTTTGTAATTTATCCAGTGAATAAAAAGCTAGTAAATTTCCATTTTTATCAGCTTTTTCATACCAACTAATTGCTTGATCATAATCTTTCGCTACACCAAAAGCTTTTTCATAACACCAAGCTAAATAAAACATGGCAGTACAATTTCCTTTTTTTGCAGCATTTTTATAATGTAAAGCAGTTTTTGATTTATCTTTCTTTATTCCAAAACCAGTTCTGTAACAAGCACCAAGACCATTTTCAGCATTCACACTTCCACTTTCGATAGCTTTTTGATACCACATAAAACTTAACTCTTCATTTTTTGAAGTTCCAAAACCATAATTATAACAATCAGCAAGTAAATCTTGAGCGATTGAATAGTCCATTTTTGAAGCAGTAAGAAATAAACTAAAAGATTTTCTTAAATCTTCTTCAATTCCAATAGAATCAAAATAAAAATAACCAAGTAATGTTATATATTGAGGAGTATTTTGATTATTTAATAACCAATCATAAATTTGAGATGGAAAACGTTTATTATCAATTATAAAATCGTTAATAAATCTAGATATAGTTTCATCTTGATTTCCTCGTTCTTTCATATCAACAAAATTTTCTATTAACTCATCAACTACTCTTCTAATTGCATCATTTTCATCACGACTAATTTGCGGCATTGGACTTTGACTTCTTAAATAATATGATTTTGGAGCAGGGCTTGAACATCTTGATCTTTGAGAAGGACTTGGACATCTAGACCCTGGAGAAGGACTTGGACATCTTGATAAACTTCTAGACGATCTTGGAACTTCAAGTGTTGTTGATGTTGCCATTACTTATATTTTTTTTAGAAAGAATGTTAGGGGTTAGAAAATAATTTTATAATATGCACGTTTGATATTTTATTGATATTTATGTATATATATAGATAGATATAAGTTTGTATTATTATTATTATTATTATTTTTTTTCATATATGATTTTTTTTTTTTCTTTACAAATTTGTTTTTTTCTCTGCGATAAAAAGAAATTTTGAAAGAAAAGAAAAAGAATGAGGTCTAAGCCGATTTATTTTTCTAGTTTTTCATCGGTTTTCGCTATATTTTTAAGTAGTACACGTACATACATGTCAATGAAATAAACTAGTATAAGTTTATTTATTTATTATAAAAATGAGATAATAATAGGTCATTTTACGTTATTGCAAATGAAAATGTATCAGATATGTACATTTTATAAATAGACCTGCGCCTGTACTTGCCACGCGGTAACATTATTGGCGCAGTGTATCATTATTGTTGTTGCATGTGTAACAAACTTGCGCAAGGGTTATCTGAGCAGAAGTCACATGTAGAAGAACGTTTACATAACGCATGTAGTTTATGTATACGTAATATTAGGTATATACGTACGTACGTACGTATATATATACTGTACATAAGTGTTTCTTTCATTTGCGTTAGAAACTTAACTGTCTCAAAGTTGCATTAAAATACATAAAGTTTTAGTTTTTTTTGTAAATTTTTTGATTTTAAATTCAGTGTCAACCTAGTGTTACCCTACGGTACTAACCTAAGAGATTGATACCCGACACGCATAATAATATTGATCAGAAATCACAGCCCTTTTTTTAGTAATTTTATGATAACGTATAATACTTCATATATGGGTTTATCCCAAATATATGTTATATACATTAAAAATGAATACGTATATGTATTCTTTTATACATGAATATCAGTCATTTATGTTACCTAACACACGGGGTTCAAGGTCTAATACGTATCAATCAAATATTACCTTTTTCATATTTAAAACTTAGGTTCATATTTGAAAACGAAGAATTATGATTCTTATGATGACAAATTATGATTCTTATGATTGATGATTTTTGACGGTTGACAAATATTTTTATTTAAACAAATTTAATCAATTTTAATTAATAGTTACAAAACCTCGTTAAAGAAAATCTCAACTCTCCGAATTTTTGAACCAATAAAAATTTATCAGTCCATTTATCAATTTTTTTTCCCACATAATTTACACTAAATAATTCTTATCAACATTTGCATGAATATGTGAATATATGTATAATAATAAAACTATTAATATTACTAATATCTAATCTCTGATAAGGAATGACAAAAATGATTGAAAAGAAAAAAGATATTCAAATTTTATACTTGTAAATATATTCTATAAAAATTTTATGAGGACGAACAAACTTATCTATCGTAAAGAGTTATAAAAAATGTTCATTAGCTAATTATTGATATATAACTACAGTCAAGTATCTTTAAAATTCTTACCGAAAATCTTTCATAGTTAGTTGTTACCCAGAATTTTTAGTTGCTAATAATTCGGCTAATGGTGCTTCTGCGTCACTATTTCCGCATTCTTTAGCCTTCCTATACCAATAAATTGCTTGTTCTAAATCTTTTGATGTACCCGTTCCTTGTTCATAACATTGTGCCAGCATAAACATCGCTGACCTATTTTCTTTTTTTGATGATTTTTTATATAATTGAAATGCTTTTGACATACTCTTTACAGTACCAATTCCCGCTTCATAACAATAACCAAGACCAAATTGTCCATCTACACTTCCATTTTGTGATGCTTTTTGATACCACATAAAACTTAAATCTTCATTTTTAGTAGTTCCAAGTCCGAATCCATAACAATCTGCGACTAAATCCTGTGCTACGAAAAAATCCATTTTCGCTGCTGTAAGAAATAATGAAAATCCTTTTCTCTGTTCTACAGGAATTCCTATTCCTTGAAAATAAAAAAATCCAAGTAACGTAGTATATTGTACTGTATTTTGATTACTTGATAACCATGAAAATATTTGTGTAGGTTCAAGTTTTTTTAATGTTATTTCTTCTTCAATACAATCGCTTACTGCTGAAAAATTATATCCTTTTTCTCTTGTTCTTACAAACATTTGAGATATTGCGTCAACATATGGTCTTAAAGCATCATTTTCATCTCGATTATTACCAACAGAAGATGTTGGACTTGTACTTCTAACACTTCTACTGCTTCTTACGCTTTTTACGGAACTTGCCGCAGATCTTGGCCTTGGAAGATTATTGGGAAGATGAAGCGTTGAAGTCATTATTTAATTATTGTTATCTTATTATCTTGTTACGATTTTGTATTTTTCAATGGATGATTAATAATTATCAAAATTTTGTTATTATAATGAGTGATTTATGTAGAAAAAAAAAAAAAATAAAAATGCTAAAAAGTGATTTCTAATTTTTAAGACAAAGAGTTACAGTGGTAATAAATAACCCGATGAAATACTGCCTATATATTTATATTATTACGATTAGGGATTTTTTTTTATTTTATTTTATTCAACTTAAATAATAAATAATAATAAAAAAAAAAAATTCTCAATTCCAAGTTTGCAACACAATTTTCGGTTCTTTCTTTATTTGGTTGTAAATATATATATTTTTCATTAAAGTATTGGCTTATAATATTTTTTTGTTATATAATATTTCTTTTTGTGTAATATCTTCTAGAAGTCTCCATTTGGCTGACGGATGTATAATTCCGTAACGTTAAATCATCATCAATTAAAATTTAAGTTTTATATCTGATATCGATATTATACGTATATAACCAATATATAGTAAAATATAGTGTGTAAAATATAGTGTACGTATATATAGTAATACCGTGATAGATTCCTATAGAATGTGTCAGTCATAATCACGTTAATGATCTGATCATCGGATAATCCTTGCGTAACTACCGATATAAAATAGCATTAACGTTAAGCTGTGGATGGCTTATCGTTATTATTATTATAATTTATAAAGTTTAAGTTTCTTCGAACTTGGAAACCTTTGTCTACTACTTTCTTTTGACAAGTAATGTCCAAACGTCAGTACTCTGATCGGTCATCTTCGCCTGCAAATACTGCAAGAAAGGTTGTTTGCCCACATATCGAAAGATATTCTAAGCATGGTTCGCCGGTAGCAAAGATTGAATCTTCCGCTTTCAAGGTATATATATATTAATTATTTTCATAAAAAAAATTTTATTATTAAAATTTTGTATTTTTTTTGATCTCAGAGACAGCTTTCTAGTTCTACACTTTCTTGTGACTGGTGTGAGACTAGAATTCCAAGAGTATGGATTTGTCTGTATGTAAGTTATGAAATTTAAAATATAATTTTTTTCCAGTGAACGTTTCACAAAATATTGGTTTATTTATCCAATCGAATGAACTTTTTATATAGAGTCGATGTCGCACCGTTGTTTGTAGTAGTAGTTCCAGGTCTCATATGCGTGAACATTTTGATATCACATATAAGGTAACTTTAACAATGAAAAATAAAATTAAATGAAATAGGATTTAAGATAACTTGAATATTTAAATGAACTTGAATATCTTACTTTAATCTAATAATAATAAATTCTTAATTTTAATACTCAGGAAAGTAAACCTGAGGCTAGTCATGCCGTATATATCAATCCACGTACTTTAACTATATGGTGTTATTGCTGTGGGATTGAAGTAAATCCTTTTAATAAGGATCAAGAATTATCTCAAGAAACGCGAAATTATTTAAAAACTGTTGTGAGATCTCTGGTAACTTTTTATTTTATACATTATTATTATCTTTATTGTTTTTATTCTTATGAATTTTTTTTTGAAAATAAAGTTGAAATACTTTGTCAGTAGCAGGTCAAACGAAATAAATCACAACAATCAAATGATCAATTGCCAATTGACGTTCCTGGTAATTATCTTGAATCTTATAAATTACTATACGTTATACGTTATACGTTATCATAGTTATTATATATATCTAAAAATTTTTATAATTTTTAAGGTCTGGTTGGATTAAAAAATTTGGGAAATGAGAGAGTAGGTTTAAATTGTCATTTTATTTATGCACTGCACTCTCGTTATGACGACACCTATACCT